CAAATTTTATTTCTCATTAGAATGTATTATTTAACAACTATTTTAAATATTACTTTTCAAAAACATGATATTGACTTGATTAAGAAGATGAGAATAGCGGAGAGCATTTTATCAGAACTCAAGGAAATTAGGGCTAAAAGTTGATGAAGAATTTCATATTTTATTGTTGAGTCAAAAGCAGAGCTATACGTGTTTAATATTTGTCTCCCTCGACTTATAGCAAGGCAAGCTCATCGTTAAAACATTAATATAGGATCAGTAGAAGAGTATATCTTAAATACAGATACATTTAAAACCCAAATAAATGAATTTTTAATTCATCATGCAGCACTTACAAATCTGCAAATATTACTTCCACAAAAGCCTTCCCAACCTTTTTCAAATGATGATGGAAAAAAAAAATATTTGTTAGATTTTTATTATGAAGATGTTTAAGTATCTTATGATGCCTTACTAGCTGAATAACTATGTTTATAAGATTAACTATGGTTGATATAGTCCCAAAATGCTATGGATGCTCTGCATTATTTCAAACACTATTTAGATTAAATTCCCAATGTATTAAAAGGGTTTATAAACTCTCCCCATTAGTAAACTAATGAGAGAACATTCTCTTTTTTAAGAAGTATAACAGAGGCCTGCAGAAGTACCATTTGCAGGGCATGGCCCGGATTTTTTTAAAGATTTTTTACGGCCTGGCCTGGGTTTTTTTAAAAAAAATTTTCAGGCCCGGCCCGGCTTTTTTTAAAATAAAATTTTCAGGCCCGGCTCGGATTTTTTTAAAATAAATTTTATTTATTTTTGATTTTTATAGCTAATAATAACGATTTCAAATATAGGCTGTTTTAAAAAATACAGCCCGGATTGGGTGTTTTTTTAAAATAATTCAGGCCCGGCTTGGGTGTTTTTTAAAAAAATTAAAATACTGTCCAGCCCGGGGGCCGGGCCTACAGGTCTCTGAAAAACATACCAAGAAGTACAACATCTGAAAGTAGATGGAAAGGTTTGGATATTTTGAATATTCATAGGCATTTGACGACAAGCAAGGATGAGATAATTGAAAAATTAGCTCAATCACAACGAAGATTGGATTTTTGTAAATATATAACAAACAAAATGCAATTATTTTTAAGAAATTTTTTGTGTAAAGGCTCAAAAAAATCAAATTTCTATTTTGGGTCATTTAAGTGATTCTTTACATATAACTTTTTTATAATTCACATAAATTTAAAATTGTGTATTAGAAATAGTTATTAGTCCTAATAAATTTATGCTTGATATTTTTAAAAAACAATATTTCTTAAAAAATTTTATTATCCCCCCCTCAGACCAAATTCCTGCGTACGCTCCTGAATCTATATTTTAGGATTATGAGCCAAACATCCAAGATATGTTAAATGTATCATCACAAGTATTATAACATTAAATTAAAACTATATAATAATCTATATCTTAGGATTTAGTGGCAAACACACAAGATATATTAAATGATATGTCAATACGAAACAAATTTTTGAATTTAAAATGAAATTTTCCCTTCATATTTATAATTTTGTATATTATTTTCATATTTATAATTTTGTATATTATCTTCATATTTATAATATATTTTAATAATAAAAATTATTATGTATGAATTTTTATAAAATGTGATTTAAGTCATTTTAGCAGTCTTCTTCCAAATACAAATCACTCACTTATACAATATAATCAAAAACACTTTTTATTGAATATTTATAAATAAATGCTATAACTTTGACAAGAGTTGTTAACGCCCCTTTTTAAAAGTAGCTAGCTCCCGCTTTTACCTTATCAAAAGGAGCTAGCTTCCGCTCCCGCTACTACATTTTTAAAAGGAGCTAGCTCCCGCTCCAAGTAATGGAGTGCCACTCCATAACCGCTCCTTTGATTTTCAATTTTTTAGAGGGTATACGAAATAAAATCTTATTTTTTTTATTAAAAAGCTTTATTTATATTAAATTATCTATCAAAATATTTATAACCTATTATTAGCTTTTAAAAGTAATAATTTTTAAATTAGAATCTATCAAACATCCACGCCTCTCCCCTAAGACCTGTTTTGCAATACTAAATAGGCACTCCACAGGAGCACTAGAGGGAAGCAGGGTATTGTATTTTATAAAGATATTTTTTAATTCAGGAAATTTATCAAAAATAGTAATTTTGGTATCATTATTTAAAAAATATTTGTCCAATATATTATCTTCCTTATAATTAATTTCATGGAATCCAAAAAAATCTTCCAAATTAATTTGTATTTAAAAGAAAGATTTTTTATTTTTAGATGCTTTTTAGATTGAAGCTGCTCACTTTTGAAAATTAAAGTTTTATTTAAACACAAAAGACATTTTGCCCGTAATTTGTTTGATCATTTGGATCAACATCTTTTAGAAGTTTAAAATATTTTTTGTATGATGGAAATAGAAATTCGATTTCTTCATCTATGATATCTAAATCCATAATATCTAAAACTATTTTTTATTATATATCTATAAAAGAAATATTAATATGACTTACAAGATTTTCCAAAATATTTTCAATCTAAAAAAGAAAACGTGATGTTTAATATTTAAAATGATTAGATGAAAAACCAATATAAAATTCGGCTAAACATTTAATAATGCATAAATTTAAATTAAATAAAATTTCATTATTAAATTTAACTAATAAATATTATTAATATTTAAAAAATAATTTAATTTACACATTAAATTTAAAGGAGCGGTGGAGCGGCGCTCCTCCACTCCAGCCCTAAAAAGAGCTAGCTCCCGCTCTCGCTCCCCAATTTTAAAAAATGTAGCGGCGCTCCTTTGACAAATTTAAACATTCATAAGAAATATAAGGTAATGGTAATTAAAAAATAAATGTATATAATTTTTGGAATAAGGGTATTCTTCATAATTAATTTGTGCACAATGTTTGCCCTCAATATCAATAATAATATTTTGTAATAAGCAGTCAGCCTTAACTATTTGTATAGTATGAGTAATATTAGTTTCTGAGGATTTATATAAGTGTTTAAATTTAGCACTCATGATTATCTTCAAATAATATAAAATATAGAATTAGTAAATCATTCACATCAAACATTTTATATATTTTAAATTGAAAATAAATGTATGATTCGGGACATGTTTCGTATCTCTCAAAACTCACGAAAGTTGTGCATTTCGCAAAACTTTTGAGTAATTTTTTTTTAAATTTAGGACAAAGCCTTAATAATATTTTCTAAATATTTTTTTTAAACAATGCAAATGCACAACACCTAGTATTTTAAAAGTTTTCTATAAAAATAGAAAGAAACACCCAAAGTTTAATTTATTTTAAATCATTTTAAATAATAACGCCAATTTTATTATTTATACTTTAAATAAAAGAATTTTTTTAAATATGGTATTTGACTGAATTATGGAAATATTTTACAAAAGACAAAGAAATTTTGCAAAATGCGTTATCTGCGGAATTCTAATTTCACGGGGATGAATAATGAAATATTCATTTAATACGACCAATATCCGTAAACTTTTTTTAATTATCGTAATAAAAAAATTAAATTAAATGCATAATTTGATTTTTTTTAATAAAATACATTTGGTTCAAAGTGGGGTTGAAAAATCAATATAAGTATCGGATCGGTTTAACCAATATCGAAAAATATAGGATCGAATCGGATAGCTGAAAAATATGTGGATCGGCACAACCCTATTATTACAGATTTTATTAGAATTTTAAAAAAAACATATTAGTGGAGACTGAGGTGAGAAGGTTTTTTTTTATAAAACGCGTTGTTGGATCTTTTAAGTAAATAGTCTTATTCAATTAGTGTCAATCACCTGTGCATAAATTCTTGAGATTTTAATAATGGGATACCTAAACCCCCCCCCCTTCACTCCAAAAATATAACTATTTATAACCAATACTTTGGTTTTATAGAAGTTAAAATTGCTATAATTTAAATTTTTTGGAAAAGAGCATGAAAAACCTATATTATTTAATTAATAGATAAATGTAACCTAGCCTGAAAACCCTATATTATTTAATTATTAGATAAATACCTAGCCAAAACCCATTATAAAGCCAGTATAGCCCCCTCCCCACAATAAATTATATATTACAAAAATTATGGATAGCATATTATAAATTCATAATATTTTAAATTTAGATTTAATTTATGTAATATGCATGAAAGTGATTAAAATTTGAAATTAAAAATAATAATTTTATAATAAAATCAAGTATTTAATTAATTCATGAAAGAATTGCCAGGTGGTATCGACATTTTTACACATTATCGAATTAATCCGTAAAAAAATCTAAAATCGTGCGCAGATACCTGTTAGCCCAGAACTCGACTCGTAAACGGGGCTTTCTAAATATAATGTAAAAATCTTATCGGACTTAAAAAATCATCCAAGACTTATTTAAAAAAATATTTTTACAAAAGGGACGGCTTATTTTTTAAGAATAAATTTAATTCATATGAATTAATCAGTTAGAAAATCAAATAATGGATCGTTTAACATAAATTTACTGCTCGTATTTTCAATTCCCTTTGAAACAATTTTCAAAATTAAGTTAAAATTATTTAATATAACGATTATTTTTTAAATCCGGGCAGCGCTTAAAATATAATCTCTGGGGTTTGAATAGTTCATCTAATTTTATCAAATATAAAGATAGCGCTCATTAAATTTAGAGGAAATAACTTATATTGCATGGACACTTCGAGATGAAAACTTTGTGATCACATCCATCGCATCTTTCTAATATGATGTATGAGGGTTTGTTTAAAGATGTTCTCAGTCAAAAGATAATTGAATACTATACAATACAAGCATATACTAAAGACATCAAAAGACTCTCATTAATACGATTTTTATAAAAATTAATTATTCATTATATTGTCAAATTAAAGGTTACTATTAAACAAAATAAATCAAATATAATAATTAATTTATTTTAATAAGAAAAATACGTACTTTGCGATGGATAGATTATGTTAATATAGCTGTTTATATTCTGATTGTTATCAGGATTAGAATAAGTTACATTTTCAGCAGATGTAAAAATGTGAGGAGTAAATGATATGGAATGGGAATTTTGAGACTTATCTATCGCAATGCCAGTAGAGTCAAAGAGAGAGCTATTATTATTAGTTAGAATTTCAATTGGATTGTGATTTAAAATATTAGGGTTGTTGTTAGCAGATAAAAAATCAATTTTTTTGGTATGATTAGATAAATGAGGATTATGGATATAAGGAAGGGGGATACAAAAATTAGGAGTATGTTTGATGCGATTTTCGGATGGTTTTATATTGTGATCATATTGTTTCAAAGAGTTAACTTGACCCAAAGCCTTATGAAAATTATTATTAATTGTGGCACCATTTAATAAAGTAGAGTTATTAGGTTGGTGGGTGGTTAACAAAGCACCGGTTTTAATACCTGGGATTAAAGCATATTGGGTAGAATAATCATCAGTAAAACTTTTCGATTGGAGCACATCACTACTATCGGATAACTTGGTCTCGCCGTTCATATGGCTGCGATGCATTTGTATACTATTATCGGATGAATTCAAATATTGAGTATCGGATCCCTTAAAATTAAGATCGCCTTCATATTTAGAGGGACCATTAAATTGAAACGATTCGACAGGGGCATTAAGTGCTCCGTTTTTTGAACTAGATTTATGGTGGTTAAAATATTTATCGGAATTCTTGTCTATTGATATTATCTTATCGACAAATTTCCCCGATTGCGCGGTCAGAAGCTTTGATTGGCAATATTTTGTCAGCGAGTATAGCTGATCATCGTCAAGGGAAGAATGTGTTTTCATGCATTTAGATTTATCGCTTTTCGGGTTTAATATTTCGTTATCTAGGGATGATCGATGGACAATGGTGCTGGTATTGTTGTTGGTAACAGTACCTAAATCCATCATACCATTGTAGCCATAAATCGAAGATGGGGCTGAAATGAGTTGTAATTCCTTCATTTATAATTTTTAGCGATATATTAATTTCACAATAGAGAATGACTAAAGATACATTGGTGTATTTGTGATTAAATTCGGAATATATTATATTAAAAAGACTCTAGTTTTCATGTTAGTAAGGGCCACACCTATTTGAAAAATTAAGATAGAATTTGATTCACATTTTTATTGATTATTATTATAAATTAGTATAAAAAATTTTTAAATCCAATCTTATGGCATTGCATTATGAGATGAATTTAATGCGTAAGAATTTAAATATACAATGTTGTAATGAAATATTTCACAAAGATAATTTTGATATAGAGAGCTTTCTTCTATTTTTAAATCCTATATGAATTAACGGTTGGTATAAAAAAGTTATAATCCCCTTATAATGTTATGTTTATTTTTAATTAATTTTTTTGTAAAATGTGGGCGGACAAATTAAATTTAAAACATTGTAAATATATAACGTAAACTTAATAAATTATCGATCGCAAAAACATATACAATATATATTTATAAAGTGACTTCAGCCTTCCTTGTAATATTTATCATTATCTCAGCTTTCTAAAGAAATGATAAAATTATAAGATGGAATCATAGTCGCGTATCTATTAATAAAACATATAATTGAATTGTTTGATAGTGCAGCATGGACCTAAGAATTATTACCTTCCTTATTTATGCGTATAAAAAAATTGATTAATTTTATAGTATAAAAGAGGGGTATTTACGCACAACATTTAGTTTTCATAAATGATGTCAAAAATGGGTTTAGTTGAATGACATTACATTTTTTTATTATAAATTAGAGATCTGCAAAGTTAGGCCCGGTCCGTACCCAGCCCAAATTTAAAATAATCGGGTTCGGGCCGGGCCTAATATTTTTTAAAAAATAATCAGGCTGGGTCGGGTCGGTTGGAAATTTTATTAAATATATCTAAATTTATCAATTTTATATATTGAATTTTTTATGTAAATTAAAAATTTTGATTTTATTGCCTAATATTTTTTAAAAAATAATCAGGCTGGGTCGGGTCGGACCTTGGAAATTTTATTAAATATATCTAAATTTATCAATTTTATATTGAATTTTTTATGTAAAATAAAAAATTTTATTGAAACTAAACGCCATATAACATATGTCTTTTATCTTGAGTAATTATAAAAATTAATTTCTATATTTAAATAAATTCGGGCCGTGCCGGTTATTTTTTTTTTAAATTTTCGGGTTCGGGCCGGGCTTGAAAAATTAGGCCCGATGCAGATCACAACTATAAATATTTAACCATATACGCTAAGACAGTGGTTAGGTCAGCCATATCGCTTTATTAATATGACACTTTAATAATGTAAATTAATCAGATAGAAATTTATAATTAACATATTTTTTTTGAAATATTAGATAAGAAAAAAGAACTAAAATAAAATAAAAAATCTTCTGATATGTTTTGTTTTCCCTTTAAAAAATCGATATTTTTTACAGATACAAACGTAAGAATAATGTATATCATTCGTCATCATTGTTATTTTGACAAATAAATCTGGCTATTTTTTTTAACTATAAATTAAAAATGATTTTTTAAAAAAAATATATTGTTGTATATTATAAATATGGGCAATGTAGCTAGATTAGAGTTATTAAAAAGCCCGATTCGAGTTGATTTTCAAAAAAGACCCGATTAAAATTTTAGCCTAAATAATATTATGCAAGGATTTGGCAAATGTCCAAAAAATCGACCCGAATCGGGCTTTATAACAACGTTAGGATAGACCTCTGCACGGCCCAAAATCCCGGCACAGCTTAAAATTAGGCAAATTACAAGAAACATTAAAAATTTTAATTATGGAATCTCAGAAGGAAGTTAAAAGGCTAAAAGCTTTCATTATATATTATAAAATTAAATGCAATTTATCATGTTTATTTGATATTTATCATTTACAATAAGAATATTTGTCAGTTATCTTAATTAGTCCACTTTTGTAAAAGTTTTGTTACTTGAAAAATAATACACCACCAGTTCTATAAAAAATTCAATTTTGAGTCGTTCTCGTAGTCGTAATGTATATATATTTTGTATTATAAACGTGAACTGAATTCAAGTCTCGTGTGAAATTGAAAACGCGACGCGATGTAATGAAATAGCTAACGATATATTATCTATAACTTTATAGAAAGATGGACCTTTAAGAAATACTTAGATCAATATTTTAGATAACTTTAAATTTGTTAATCATTTAGGTGTATATCTTTATATAGTATAGATTATTTAAATAAGATTTAAGGATTAAGGATATAAACAAAAATGATACTTTTTTAGAGTGGAATTCAAATTATATCAGGGTGAACTTTTATTTATGAAATATAGTCATTTGTTTATATTTTAGATTATAGTAAATGTTTCGCATCCAACCATTATTGAATGACACATTGGTAGTGCCACTATTATAATTAAATTTTTCAGAATCATTGTAACTTCTAAAACGTGTCATTAGCATTATGAGAGAAAATAATTTTAATAATATTGCATTATTTTGTATGTAGATTCTATATGCATAAACATCAAAGGGTAAAATCTGATATTTATATTGTAAATTTGTTATTGAAAAAATAAATAATTATTTAATATATTTCATATTATTAAATTCAAACATAAAAAACTTTATTTGAGACCTGTGCTTGTCTTTATTCTATAAAAAATATTTTGGACATTTGAACTGTTTAATATAGATCAATTTATATGTGGGAATATTTTTGGCTACACCTGTTGGAGGCAAGCTCTCTTATTTAATCTTTAATAAATTTAATGACTCATTTTTATTCAAAATATACAACTTAAAACATATTATTTGATGAGAATATAAAAATATTTAAAAAATCGATCGTATGAATATATTATTTATATTATTTTAAATATATGATAAAATACCTTTCAAATGTATTTAAATATAGATACATGATATAAACTGTATCTAGATGCAGATACACTCTTCGCCAAGACACCGTTACATTTGTCAAGGCAAACTTAAAAATTCATTTCGTTGAATAAATATATACAATTTTAAGTAAAATTCAGTAAGGTATTCATAAGGTCAAAATTTGAAATCTATTGTTAAAATTTAAATTTTCAAGTGAACCAAACATTTTTTATTTAGTAATAAAATATATAATTAAATGATTATAGAATATAGTTGTTAGCTTCTACCTAAACCTTTTTCATCAGAAAAGCCTCCTGCCACACTAAAAACTTTCCAATGGTGCACTAAAAGATAGTGATATACTTTAGAATATCATTTTTATATTAGGATAATCTTCAAAAATATAGTAAAATTCTGACAAAATTTGTATTAAGCTGTTGCTGTATGAAATCGTGTTGTATGGTTAAAATACTCATTATGTTATCTAAATTAATAGAATATGGGGAAGACTGGGGCCAAAAATATATCTATCATATATTTCCCTGTAGGATGAAGAGCCCGCTATTGTCAGATATTGAGGAAAAATAGATTATGTGCCTTTCTTAAATTATATTTTTTGTTTTGACCCCAAATAACTTATCTTTGAATTATAAAACTTATATCAATGATTCTCTAATATTATATAATATAAGCAAGTTGATACAATCTTTCTAGCTTATCTAAAAAGGTAGGAATTTTCATTCAAAGTGCAGCAATACCTCAAAATCCTACAATGGGCAAGATTGAAATTAAAAGGATTAGTTTTTAATAAGATTATGCTATGTTAAATCAATAATTTTTTTAAAACATTTTAAGGCAATATGATGGATTTATTGGTAATACAAATAAAATTATATATTATGGTACCGTCAATGTTGGTAATCTTGTAATATGTGTAATATCTTATAATTGTCTGAAATTTATTGTGTAGGTACTTTACACATGATGAATGGAACAAATTCCCAGCAAAATCAAATTTAAAAATGAGCATAATAAATAAATTACATTTAATAGCAAAATAATTTCCTAAAAGCATTTTTAAATTTGAAGATCTAGTTTTGCCGAAAATGTATTCCAGTATGTGCAAAATATTCATCCTGTAAATTTATATTGCTATTTTGTATATGTTGTGTGTTAAATACATATTTGCAAAATTTCCTCATGGCTTTGCAACAATAGCCCAGGTATAGGGAAAAATTGCAAAAAAAAATTTATGATTCACACACCGTGGGAGGTAAAAGACTATAACTGATATATTTTGTGGATTAATATTAGGGGTATCATTGGATACATTAAGGACTTCTACGAGGGGGGGGGGTGAAGGCGTTCAATTGTATGATTTACTATAATTATTTATCGCCAATGAGCAAAATACTTGCAGGAATTTCCCGACTTCCTCTAAATTGGAAAAGGACTGGGGCATTACGGGTAAAATAGCATAAAATAGCAGAATTTGACTGGAGAGAATTTGAAGTTGTTGAGACCGGATTCAGAAGAATTCAATTCTTTTTATCGATCTTTAATCTAGCATTACTAACGTAAAACTAAAAACATAAAATTTTATTTATATTGAATAACTGCAGAGACGTCACTCGCCTTTACAATCTCAGTTGGCTCAAAAAAAATTTATTTTTAAAATTATTTTCAAAATTACGTTTTTTTAAGCTAACATTATAAATATTACCTTCTTTAGGTAACATTATCCTAAATTACTTAAAATTTTGTTTCAAATTTAATTTACATGATATTAGTTTTCGTTTTATGCGAGAGGAAATTTTAAAAAAATGTTTTGCCCGCATTATTTATTTGCCATTAAAAAAAAGCTTATCACATGTTTTTCGATAAAGAATTAAGTTTTTTGATGTTTGAGCGTAAACGTTGTTAATGCTTGTATAGGGGAGGTAATACTCTTAAGCAAGAGAAACTCAATATTATTATTTATAAATTAACATTAGAAAAGGTCAAAAAATATTATATTATATTTTGATTTTAGATATAATACGAGGAAATATTGATCCAACAGCAATAGGTCACCCCCCCCTTCTCCCCCATCTTTTTTGTTAAGATGAATTAACCGAGCCCCAGCGATTTAAGGAATGATAGGTTCAGGGATTAGACCTCTTAGTAACAGATTTAAAAATTGTG